TGATCATATGAATAGAAAATATTCACTTCCAGAGCCATCATTTCCTTAGCTTTGAGAAAAAGGGTTAAATACACAAAACAGCTTACTTAGACTACTTGCTCTGTAAGGTCCACAGAATGATATAATTGTTGAGCATTTGGATTATTCAGTAAGTTTATCAAATTTATAACAAGCAAAAGTAAAAGAATTACAAGCAAGTAGCATAAAAAACCTGGAGAGAATGAGACATCATTAAATCAAGTACTAACAGCATGTCCCAGAAATGAATGAATTAACCTGTGAGAGGGAAAACAAAAGGAACCATCATCAAACTGTGAGCTTACAAACATCCCACAGAAATTGACTAGAAAAGCCAGCTGGAGTTTTAGGCTGAGAGAGCCCTTGAAGAAGTGTCTCCTCAAGTGAGACTTCCAAGGTGGAAACAACAAACCAACAAAACAAAACTAATAGCATCAGATAGAAACCATCAAATTGGGTGCTTAGAGTCTTATCTAGCAGAAACCAGCTGGTAAAGCTATGATAGACAGTTAAGAGGTTGAGAGGATCCCAAACATATCCACCTTCTCCATCGATGGACTTCTGCCTTTCTTTTTCACTGTAGACATCTTTTTTTTTCTTTTTTTTTCACTATAGGATAAATTGTAATCTTGTTTGAAAAGAGTCTACATTCTAGCTATCCTCAAGGGCATAGCATTTTAAACTTAGCTATTTGCTGTTTTCCTTTCATCTTGTTTTAAGGACTTAAGTGTCCAGGGAGGAAGCTTTAGAGAAGAGAGTGAGGGCCTCTGTGTTCCTGGAGTCTGCTTTCACCAAGCTTGAACAGCACATTATGATTTACCAATATAATATGTATTACACTGCACATTAAAATCAGGCTTCCTCACTTATTCGGTGTATTTTTAGATGTATTGGCATAAAGAAAAAATGTTTATTATATGCATTCCCATCTCTGTTTGAATGTGTTAAAAAGTGATGGGAACAACTCTCCTGATTGCCAAAGTGCCTCCATTTTAATCCAATAGCACGTGCTTTTTAACAATCATGGCATTTGTCATTAGAAAATTAAATGGCATCACACATTTGTCTACCAATTAATATCTTAAATATATTGAAAGCATCACTTGACTTTATTACATAGATTTTTTTCATTCCCTTTTAACCAGTTTCATACTAATAAAATGTTAACTACATTCCCAACTAAATTATCTCTTTCTGAACAATAGCATTTGTAAATATATATATGACAATACCTTGTAAATTTATGTAAATATAAACATAAATGTCTTCAGGTTTCAGTTACTTAGACATCTAGTCACAACTCTTTCATCTATGTTGTCAAATATCAGCACATATATTTTATTTTATTTTTTTGTCTTAGGAAAGCAATTTCTTTTTTTTAATTTTTATTTATTTTATATAACCAAGTCCATTTAAATTAAAACAAATATTTATAGACAATATTTGGGAATTTGGGTGTCGTTCTTTCCAAACTACTTCCTGCTGGTAAGGGGCGCTCCTTCCCTCCCTCCCTCCCTTCCTCTTTCCCTCCTTCCCTCCCTTTTACCCTCTCTGCCCTCTCACATGCACTCTAACCACCCTCCCCTCCCATCCCCCCACACCAATTCCATTTGTAGGGGAATGCCATCCAGTTGGGGTCATGTAGGTCTGACAGGTCATGGGAAGTAGGGACTAGGGCTTCTCTCCTGTTTCTAGATTAAGGCAGTTATCTCTCCATGGGGGATGTGTTCACAAAGTCCTTTTGTGAACCAGGGATACATCCTGGCTCCACTGTCTGAGGTCCCTTAGACTGCTCAGTCCTTCTGGCTGAGACCCATATTCAGGGGGGCCTGAGTCAGTCCCATGCTGGCTTCCCAGCTATCAATCTGGTGGCCCTTTAGCTCCTCTTTGTTCAGGTAAGCTGTCTCTATGTGTTTCTGCCTCCTGGTCTTGTTCTCTCAATCTGCATCTGAGTTCTACTTCGACTCAATGTTTATGTATGGGTGTTTGCTCCTGTTTGTTTCCAACAGCCATTAGTTGATGGCTCCAGGGATAAGTTAGTTGTTGATCTCACTCTCCAGGAAGGGCATTTACTGTAGCCTTTCCACGGAAGCTCAAATTGTGAGTTGGCAGCAGTCTTGTAGTTCTCTACACCTTTATTTGTGTTCAGTTTTATCTTCAAACCAATATTGGCTCCCTCTTTTATGTTCTCTCTCTCTCTCTCTCTCTCTCTCTCTCTCTCTCTCTCTCTCTCTCTCTCTCTGTCGCTCTCTCTCTTTCCTGTTGTCTATTACTAACCAGGCTCAATCTTCCTGGTCGCACATGTTTTCCTTTCCTCCCCCTCGTTTTCTCCTACTTCTCTCTCCATTCGCTGCCCCCACCCACTTCCCCTGAGCTCTGGCGGACTTGTCCTTTACCAGTTCTGTGAGGGACTTCATATGAATCTCTTAGAATACTCCTTGTATCCTAGTTCCTATGGTGGTGTGAATTATAGGCTGGTGATCCTTTGATCTAGGTCTAAAATCCATAAATGAGTGAGTATATACTGTGTTCCTCTTTTTGTGACTGGGTTACCTCATTCAGGATGGTTTCTTCAAGTGGCATCCACTTGCCTGCGCATTTCAAGATACCATTATTTTTTTTTCCTGCAGAGTAATATTCCATTGTGTAAATGTGCCACATCTTCATTAACCATTCTTCAAATGAGGGGCATCTAGGTTGCTTCCAGGTTCTTACTATTACAAATAGTGCTGCTATGAACATAATTGAACAGATGTCTTTGTTGCATGGTTGTGAATCCTTTGGGTATATGCCTAAGAGGGGGATTGCAAGGTCCTGTGGTAAACTAATTCTCATTTTCCTGAGGAACTGCCATACTGATCTTCAAAATGGCTGTCCTCGCCCCATTGCATGATTTTAGCTGTTTTGTCAAAAATCACGTGTTCATAGGTGTGTGGGTCAATATCAGGATTTTCAATTCGATTCCATTGGTCTACCTGTCTATTTTTATGCGAAAACCAGGCTGTTTTCAGAACTACAGCTCTGAATGGTGATGCCTCCTGAAGTTCTTTTATTGTATAGGGTTGTTTTGGCTATCCTGGGTCTTTTGTTTTTCCATATAAAGTTGGTTATTATTCTTTCAAGGTCGGTGAAAAATTATGGTGGGATTTTAATGGGGATTGCATTGAATCTGTAGATTGCTTTTGGCAAGATTGCCATTTTTACTATGTTTACACTACCTATCCAAGAGAATGGGAGATCTTTCCATTTTCTGGTATCTTCTTTAATTTCTTTTTTTAGAGCCACAAAGTTCTTATTATATAGGTCTTTTACTTGTTTGGTAAACATTACACCAAGATACTTTATGTTGCTTGTGGCTATTGTTTGTAAAGGGTGATGTTTCTCTGATTTCTTTCTCCATCTCTCTGTCATCTGAAAAAAGTAGGGCTACTGATATTTTTGAGTTTATCTTGTATCCCGCTAGTTTGCTGAAGGTGTTTATCAGCTGTAGGAATTCCCTGGTAGAGTTTATTGGGTTGCTTATGTAAACTATCATATCATCTGCAAAATATATAGGCAGGTCTCCTTTGTTCAGAGTTGCTCCAAGAAGTCTCTGAAATAGGGCAGACTGTTGGCTCCACCCTCTGTCCCAGTGCTCAACCAGAGCGTCATGACTGTGGGTAGGGTAGGGTACAGGGTAGGGCAGGGCAGGCTTGCATTGGGGATGGGTGGGGGTGTATCAGAGCTCCAAGGGTGCTCTTGATGGGGACAGGACACCCAGCACATATATTTTATATAGCTTTAAAAATGATCACCTATTAAAATAATTCAAATATTTTGAATAAATAGAATGTGTATATTTTATCTTATTTAAGTTTTTTGGTTAATTAATTTTGTGACTACATAAAAAATAAGCAGACTTTCTTTTGGTTTCTTATATGAAACTCAAAAAATATCTTTTCTTGAACTATACTAACTCATATTAATCTTCACAGAAAATGCATATGCATTACTGTCTGAATGAATGACTACCATATTTTTCTAAACTTTAGTTTTTCATAGGTTAAAAGCTTGTGTGTACATAATTTCAAATTTGCGAAGAATTGTATTTATCTAAAAGAATGATTTTTGCTATGATAGAAATGCTGAATTTATGATTGAATGAGTCAAAAGTGAATGAATCTCTACCTATTCACATTTATTTTTTCACCATGTTATGCTCATAATTTAGCTTCTATTTCCGGATAACATACTATTTCACAGCAGTTTTTGAGATTATTAAAGTGAGGTGCTTTTTCTTGTAAGTATAAAACCATCTGTTATGATGGCATCACATGAAAACTTTTAAAATTTAAATTAGAATAGTTAAATTTAGTTGTTTGGATTAAGTTTTAATACTATAATCATTGGTATATAGATGAATAAATTGAATAATACTAGACTTAAATTTTAAATGTAAAAATTATAGAACATACAGTTCTAAATAAAACAAACTAAAGCAAGCAAACAAAACATTCTACATTATTTTGTGTGCTCTGGTTTAATGATTTGGGGTTAATTGTTTAGGAATAATTAAGGAAGCACCAGGGGCTTCATGAAAGTTAAGCTGAAAATATTAGGCAACAATTTGGAGAAGATAATTTCAGATAGGATGAGCATATATTTTTGATTCTTCCATAGCACCAAATGGAACATACTTAAATAAAGCAACTTTCTAATTTCCTAATTTCTAACTTGCATTTGGTCTGTATGCGTTTCTCAACCCTAGAAATTCATATAAATCAAATCTTAAGATAATTGTTCTTACTGTATTCTATTCTTGTTATTTCTGCACCAAGTTAAATATGTTTTATTAGTGTCTGCAGAGATATTTTTAATTAAGTTCTGTAGTTTATTACTTGGTAGTTATAAGCATCATACCATTATGAACTTCGTTGTCATCTTGCAATTTTATTGGTGCCCCTTTTTCTGTTTATTATTATAAATGATCAATTTAATTTCAGCTTCTTGTTCTGGACTGAATGGGGACAGATGCCCTGCATCGGAAAGGCTCACCTAGATGGTTCTGAGAAGGTCATGATTGTAAGCATGGGAATAACATGGCCCAATGGCATCTCCATTGACTATGAGGTCTGTTGGATTGCTTTTAAGATTCTACAGTGTGTTCATGTCCAGCTTATACTAGTCTGCTTTTACTATGCCCTTATTTTCTTAATAAATAACCAAATCAGCTTGTACTATTGCTTTCAAATCACTATGTAGGAAAATAAATTATACTGGTGTGATGCACGCACAGACAAGATAGAGAGAATTGACCTTGACACTGGTGGGAATCGTGAGGTCGTGCTGTCTGGGAGCAGTGTGGATTTGTTTTCAGTTGCGGTCTTTGGGGCTTACATCTACTGGTCTGACAGGTAATTTATTTTTTCATAAGTATTTGAGTCTCACAATATTATTTCTGTGTCATGTCTTTGCCCTTGTAGGATTAGCCACCCTTTAGCAAGGTTACAAAAAGGATTTTACAAAACTACGTAAATTTTACAGAAGAGGTCAGCAAGGATATCTAGCTATCCCATGGACAAGAATTTCAGCCCAACCCACAAAAACTAGCCTGTTTTCTTCTGTTTGAGCCATCTCTTATATTCAGTTTTACCTAAGTTGATTTTAATTAATTCAAGATTGTTGATCCTGTATGTTCAATTCTTCGCAGAGCACACGCCAATGGGTCAGTCAGAAGGGGCCACAAGAATGATGCCACAGAAACAGTAACCATGAGGACTGGACTTGGAGTCAACCTAAAGGAGATCAAAATTTTTAACCGAGTAAGAGAGAAAGGTCAGCATAGTTAATGAAACACACAATTAATATGTTTTGTATCAGTTCTCTTTTGTTTTTAAAAAAATCAGAATTAATTTCTGTTAAGTTCAATACCTCAAAATTTATGTTTTGATAATTTTCTTTTATAGAAATCAGAGAGAAGGCCAAGGAAATGAGCATATAATAATTTATATACATGTATATATTTTTAATAAATATGTATGATCATTAATATAGGACAAGTATTAAGGTTGGTTTGTATTAATAAGTATGTTTTAAAAGTCTTGTTAAATATATATGACAGTAAAAAAACAAAACTAGGATATTTAGAGAAGCAACTTATTTCTTGTTTTGGATTATCTATTAGAATACAAGTTGCTATAGTTCTGGAGACAGATGTCTTCAATGTGTATTTCTGAATTATTGCTTCTTTGATAATGGTTTCATCTATTTAAAAATATTTTTATTCAAATTCTGTATATGAAAGAACTTTGTATAATGATTTTGGAGTTGACAATCATGAACTCATAGCATAGACTCAGACTTACAAAGAAATAGTAAGAGAATACTTGATCTTTTAAAATTAGAGTCATTTGTGCTTTATATATAAGAGGTATAGTCCAAGAAATCCATCCATTTGCAGCAATTTCCTGTGAGCGTCACATGATTTCTCAGTTTGGTTTTGGTGCTTAGTGCTGATTTCAGTGCTTGGTCCTTGCTGGGTCAAGGAATTGCCACTAATTAAATATACAGCCTTAATAAGTTAAATCTTAGAGCTTTTGTCGGGCTTTGAAATATGTATATTTAAAATTGAAATTCAAGATATTAGAACCTTTAATTTAAAAATTCATTAGTGTTTTGCATAAAATATTTATTGACCACTCTTTACAAATAAAATTACACTTAATGTTAAATTGTAGCATTTCTGTTTGAGGTAGGATTAAGTTGTTCAAACATTAAAATAATGATTGTATATTGGTGTGTTTTCTCTTTCTCAGGAACCAATGTCTGTGCCAAAGACAATGGTGGCTGTAAGCAACTCTGTCTCTATCGTGGGGATTCCAGGAGAACCTGTGCCTGTGCCCATGGCTATTTGGCCAGGGATGGAGTTACTTGTCTAAGGCATGAGGGCTACTTGCTATATTCAGGAAGAACAATATTAAAAAGCATACATCTTTCTGATGAAAACAACTTAAATTCCCCAGTAAGACCCTACGAGAACCCACATTATTTCAAGAATATCATAGCCCTGGCCTTTGACTACAATCAAAGAACAGACGGTACCAATAGGATCTTTTACAGTGATGCACATTTTGGAAATATACAGCTAATCAAAGATAACTGGGAAGATAGACAAGTAATTGTTGAAAGTAAGTACAAATTTTTCAAATGTTTGTGTGTCACTTAAGTTTAGAAAAAAATTAGTAAAATGTTGTGGAGCAGTTGCACTCCCCATAGTTCATGCTCAAGAAGGTCTAGGATTTTATCATCCATCAGTTCTCCAGTGTCAAAGCAGGAAGTGCCCACATGTACTGTAAACATTAGCTTTAATTATCTCTGCAGTGTTTCTATCATCATGTTTGCTACTTAAAAGTTTTTTTTATACTGGGAACATGTCAGTACAAAATTGTTTTAATTAGTCTTCTTTAAGTGTGGGTGAAATGATATCATTAAATTATCTCTAATGATTTTCAGTTTATCATATTTTCTGAAAAATTATCTAACATCAGTGTGTGATTGTATCATGAAGAGGGGATGTCAAAGAAGTGATTTGGGCTTGAAGATTATTTTCAGCAGGAAGAGAGATTTTCTAGCAAACACAAGGCTCTAATTTGTAAAACACACAAAAAGCATGGAAAAGAAAGAACTTACTGTAAACACTCAAACTTTATGTTTCTTTAGTGGGAATTAGCCACACAATTTAGAGACACTTCTTTCCTGTTGTCTAATATTCATGAATACCAATATCTTCATATACTTTCCACTATGACTTTTCAATTTCTATTTTTTCCTTACTACTTATTTTCACTGTACTGAAGCAGTCTTTGCATCTATATTTTTAAATTGCAGTATTAAGCATATTTTTACAATAAACTTTATGAGTAACATAGGTTTAAACATGATGTGTGCTTCAATAATGCCAATGTCATCTAATCAAGAGCTGAAAACTCCCATTTCCTGTAGCTTTTTTGTAAGACTATGTATCATCACCCTTAATTATAAGAGGATTATTTACCAATATATAAGACACCTAGCTGACTATAGTGATATATTACAAACATTTATTTCAGCCCACAAATCTACCTTATTCCTTGGCAAGCACATGTCCAGTTTTTACCCAGTATACAGCTTTATTTATTCAGTTTATTGATAAATGATTTATGTGTCTCATGTATATATTAAATACTACAATTAATATTTGTATAAATGTGCTAATTCATGTTACAAATATGTTTTCCCATCAGTCTGGTCCCAGAGCTGTGCCAGCCCCAAATAACATACAAGGAGATTGAATTAGATATTATTCTTTTGGCCTGTTACTAGCATTACTTATTGGCTAGCTAAGTCTTAAATATTAACACATTTCTATTAATCTAAGTATTTCCACATGATCTTATCTTACTGGAGAGTGGGCCCGGAATTCTGCTCTCTTGCCTATATGTTGAATCTCCTACTTCCTTTCCCCAAACTCTCTTTCTCCCCAGGCCCATCCATCTTTCTTTCCTATTGGCTAACAGTGCTTTATTCATTAATGAATAAGACAGAATGACACCTCCCATAATCTCCTCTTTTCTGTCTAAAATAAAAAGAAGGTTTTTAACCTTATATATCAAAATATATAACAAAACAGTTATCAAATAAGGACCACAGTTAACAATATTTAGTTCATTAACATTTAGAGAGATTTAAAGAAAATATTCCATCATCTATCCTATTTTGGTGAGGCTGAAATTCTATATGTAACTTATCTTTAATTCTAACTAAGGAAAACTATGATCATAACTGTCCGTATTCAACTCCATCAAAGACCACAGAAGGATAATATATAAACTATAGAAATGACAGAGACATCTTGCTACCTGGTCAGGCACCTGAAGTACTTCTGTAATGTTCCATCTTCAGTCCATAGGAAATAGTGTATCTGGCAGACACCTCAGCAAAGCAGGAAACTTTAAACTGTCCATCTGTTTTGGCAGTTAGTCACTTTTCTCTGTGTCCTGCAGAATGTCTGGCAGACTCTTCCATGAAGCAGAAATCCTGTGGCAATGTCCATCTTGTATCAGCAGTCACTGTCCTGTGGGTCCTGTATGTCCAGTTTATACAACATAAAGTCAAACAGTCCAGACAAGAGCAGTATCTTGCCTGAATGGCTAGTCTTGCCATATTGAAAGCAAATGCCATAACAAGTTTCTTCGATGTTTCTTTTCCTTTCTGACACAGGTGGTATTGCCAGGAGCAGTTGTACCTCAATGTTAAGAAAAACACTAAACCATTTTAAATGCCATATTCTGTAGGTCTTTTAAAGGTTTGAAGAATGCCTATCTAATTTAAATATATCTCTCTATATCTAGAAAACCTAATTAACACTATAAGTTTTGACTATTATAGATAGCTATCTATAATCTGTACTAAATTAAACATTACATTTCTAAATGAGCTATATAAACACAATACCTAAACAAGAGGAGAAATATACATATAACAAAATTGTCCTTCAATTTTTATCAATAAATGAAAATTCATTCTAAAACAGAATACTCATATCTATACCATAATCCCCTCTTTATCTTTAAAGAGATTGGTTGTGGACATTAACCATTTATAACCAACCCCATTTAAATGAAAATATTTATAAATGATATTTAGGAATTTGGGCATCATTCTTTCCAAACTGCTTCCTGCTGGTAGGAGGGCGCTGTCTTGGGGGAATCCTACAAAGATGTAGAAATCCTGGATGTAGTGGCCTGAAAGGCACCATGTCCCAGTTGTTTTAAATGTTGGATCACCTGGGACACTGCTTTAGGGGGTCTTGCTTGATCAAACAATGTTAGTCTGGAAGGAATCCACAGCTTTTTATTTTCTGTGGAAACAAAGATAAAAATCTTTTTCCCCAGTAACCTATTCTTCCTTAGACATAAATTTTGAAGTGAAAGCATTTTTAAAATATATAAATTGAATTAATCCAGCAGCATTTATTTTAACAGTTGTTGCTATTTCCTCAGCAGTCAAACAATACAAAAATTAAAAAAACAAAAACAAAAACAAAACAGCATATAGTATTAGTATCCAGATTCTTTTTATGCTTTCCATCTTTACATAGCTTTTTTATTACTCTATTTATTTAATTTTTATTTTTTCATTTTTTGAGACAGGGCTTCTCTGTGTAACTTTTGCCTGTCCTGGAATTAACTCTGTATACCAGGTTCATTTTGAAATCACAGAGTTCTGCTTGCCTCTGTCTCCTGAGTTTTGGAATTAAATGCATGTACCACCATACTCAGCTACTCTCTTTGTGTTTTTCTTATCTTTTAAACCCGCTGCTCATACACACTACTGAATTGTTAGCAGCCCTTCTTAAAAGCCCTGCTTTTTTTTTTTTTTTTTGCCACTTATGCTGAGTCAGGAAACCTCTCTTAAAGGAGCTATTCAAATTTCTGCTTGTCTCTAGCAAAACAGAGTCTGACTGAGAAATGTTGGTGGCAAGAAGCCTTGCTTGTCTCTGTTCTTTTGTTTCTAAAACCCTTTTTTAAGCTTTTGTTAAATTTTAAGTGGAAGTTCTTAGTAGCCACTCTGAAGGTGCCATTTTGTTAGGAGCATGTTTTCCTGCAAAGAGGAGAGGATGGAAGATGTCATTCTATAAATGTTTGTCTTATCGGTTAATGAATAAAACAGTATTGGCCAATAGGAAAGCAAAATAGGCGGGACTAGGAGACAAGGAGGAATCGGGAAGTAGGGGGGAGGAGTTCAAGATGTAGGACCAACAAGGTAGAACTCCGGGCCCTCTCTCCCGTAAGATAAGACCAGGTGGAAATACTTAGATTAATAGAAATGGGTCAATATTTAAGACAGAGCTAGACGATAAGAAACTAGTAACTTGCCAACAGCCTTATATCAAATACATCTTCACTGTGTATTATTTGGGGCTGGTGCCTCTGGGGAACCAGGCTAGCAGAAAAACATGCTTGAAACAGTGTATCATAGAAACCTAGAAGTTGCTAAGCAGTGATTGATTGTGCATGGCTTTAATCACAGCATTTGGGAGGATGAAGCAGGCTGATCTATGTGAGTTCAAGGCCAGCTTGGTCTACAGAGCTAGTGCCAGTACAGGCCTCAAAGCTACTCAGAGAAATGCTATCTCAAAAAAACAACAACAATAATAATAACAACAATAATAAAAAATACTGGAAGAAAATTTAACTTGAAACCTGAAACCAAGTCACCCAGACAATCATTGTGTATTTTATTTCTTATGGGTGGCTGAACATAAATGTCCCATCAATTTATATCTTTACCCATTGTCTATGAAAATAATTATTTTCTCCAAGCTTTTCCAATAATATTTTATTAGTTTATAGAAATCTAATAATAAAATTACTTCTTTATATTAATATACATCTCTTGAAAACAATAATCTAGCATCTACTATGTTCAGTTATTAAAATCTGTTCAGGTATTCAGTTTATAAAAACAATTTTTATTTTGTAGGTTGCTATATTTAATAGTAATTTCATACCAATTTCTATATTTATGGCCCAGGACATTTTGGCCCTTCTCTGTCTCTCTTTCTTGTGTGTGTTTATAACAGCTTTGTAACTCTACTAATTATTAAATTAATTCATATTTGATACTCATTGATTATTGGTGTATGTCTGTATGAGTTTTACATTTATATTATTTTTCAGTTTGTCATTGCCCAGTTTGATAGATTTCATCACTGAAAGTGTTCATATTCAAACACAGCATATTGTTTACCTTATTCATCATGTATATTTAGGCACCCTGGTGGTAAAAGATAAATATCTGTTCAGAGGGCTTTAGAAGCTACAGTTTAATGAATAAAACTTCAAGCAAACAATCATTGTAATATAGTAGATCTACTATAGTAGATACCTGAGGCTTTAAAGAATAAATAATAGGCTGGGGAAGAATCTCATGAAAGTTTTAAATGGGATGCTGTGCTGAACTGAGTTAAGGACATTTCCTGGGTAGATAGAAATCATCAGTTGAGTGGGCCAGGTGATGGGAGAGAGGGGAGATGCCTGCTTCTAGCTCTGTGCTTTTCAAAGTGTAACTCTCTAGGTATCCTTATTGTACAACTGAAAGAAGAAGAGAACAAAATCATTCTCAAATACATAAGTGTTCCAATATCTGTCTTTTTCTTAAATCTGACCTTTGCTCTGAAGTTAT